TGTGTGTGTGTGTGTGTGTGTGTGTGTGTGTGTGTGTGTGTGTGTGTGTGTGTGTGTGTTTAAGTTTGTGCAGTCTGACAGGTGAGCATCCTCCCAACGTAACGAGGGTCACACACCTCCTTCCCTCCCAGCAATGCTTTGTGTTTACGATGTAAACGTGTCACTGAAGTGAGGACGTGTGTGTGTGTGTGTGTGTGTGTGTTTAAGCATTTATCTTGTAAGGCCCATTACTCCAGAACAGATTTAGGATATTTACTAAATAAGCTTATAAAGCCGATGTAATCAATGTTATTTATTGAGTTGGTTAACAGATATTAGCTTCAGTAGCAGAATATTGTTATACAGAGTGTAGCACTCTTCTGAATCATGCTACAGTTTAACACTAATTATTTCATTTTACAAGCTGGTTTTGCCTCTGATTTATGTAATATTTACACAGTTTAAAATAATATTTTATATGTAATTATTTTTAGGTTTCTATTAGACAAACATGACCTGTTGAGAAGACGGGTAGCTAATATCAGATACAAGTTTTATTTTAAAATATCACAAGGTAGTCAGTGAACATTTTCTAATTGTTGACTGGTAAATATTTATTATTATTATTTTTATTTATGACAGTAAAAAATAATAAATCTACTTTATTACTCGTTGAAGTCATCATTTTTCAACTAGCTGAAAAGTCTAAGTTTTTGACTGAAGTCAGGTCTGGTTTAAATCAATGTTACACGTTATATATTTTCCTTGTATAAATCTGTTTTTCATGATTGTTGAATGAAACTAACAATTATATTAATTTATTGTAAAAATTTTAGAAATAATTTATGACACAGATCCAGTTGCTTTTTATCTAATAGTTGTTGTTGGTTGTGAGCTGACGACCTGTATGGTCACAACTTTTGCTCCTCCATGTTGTCACAGATGATAACAGATGGGCGCAGGGCTCAATCTAGTGTTATTTAAGTCTATGAGGAAAAATGACTGGAGTCATTGCAAAGTCCCTGTGAAGATAGGAAGAAGCAGTTTGTGTGTTCTGAACCATTGTCCCGAAAAAGCAGCCTTGTGGGGACCAATGCCCACGAATAGGTACGAATGCAAATTACAGGTGGGGGTTAGGTTTAAGACCAAGATGTGAATTGAGTTTAGGTTAGTTTTAGGGTAAATGGTCAGGGTTAGGATATAAAATTTCCAATAAATGAATGGATATATCCCACGGGGATATAAAAACCAGACGTGTGTGTGTGTGTGTGTGTGTACGGGTTTTTCCTACAACGTGGGGTATTTTTTACAAAAAAAGCAGCCAGGTGGGGACCGAAGTGAATCGTGGGGACCACTGTCAGGTCCCCACGGGTCCAAATGCATGTTACAGGTGTGGGGTTAGGTTCAGGACCAAGGTTTAGGTTAGTTTTAGGGTCAGGTAAGTTTCTGTGAGGTTAATGTTAGAGTATATGGTCAGGGTTAGGATATAAAATCTAAAAAACATGAATGGTGTGTGTGTGTGTGTGAGTGTGTGTGTGTGTGTGTGTGTGGACGGGTTTTTCCTACAACGTGGGGTATTTTTTACAAAAAAAGCAGCCAGGTGGGGACCGAAGTGAATCTGGAAGTGAAACCATTGTCAGGTCCCCACGGGTCCAAATGCATGTTACAGGTGTGGGGTTAGGTTTAGGACCAAGGTTTTAGGTTAGTTTTAGGGTCAGGTAAGTTTCTGTGAGGTTAATTTTAGAGTGTATGGTCAGGGTTAGGATATAAAGTCTAAAAAACATGAATGGAAGGCAATGTAAAGTCCCCACGGGGTCGAGAAACAAACATAAGTGTGTGTGTGTGTGTGTGTGTGGGCGGGTTTTTCCTACAACGTGGAGTATTTTTTACAAAAAAAGCAGCCAGGTGGGGACCGAAGTGAATCGTGGGGACCTGTGTGGGGTTAGGTTTAGGACCAAGATTTAGGTTAGTTTTAGGGTCAGGTAAGTTTCTGTGAGGTTAATTTTAGAGTGTATGGTCAGGGTTAGGATATAAAGTCTAAAAAACATGAATGGAAGGCAATGTAAAGTCCCCACGGGGTCGAGAAACAAACATAAGTGTGTGTGTGTGTGTGTGTGTGGGCGGGTTTTTCCTACAACGTGGGGTATTTTTTACAAAAAAAGCAGCCAGGTGGGGACCGAAGTGAATCGTGGGGACCAATGCATGTTACAGGTGTGGGGTTAGGTTTGGGACCAAGGTTTAGGTTAGTTTTAGGGTCAGGTAAGTTTCTGTGAGGTTAATTTTAGAGTGTATGGTCAGGGTTAGGATATAAAGTCTAAAAAACATGAATGGAAGGCAATGTAAAGTCCCCACGGGGTCGAGAAACAAACATAAGTGTGTGTGTGTGTGTGTGTGTGTGTGTGTGTGTGTGTGTGTGTGTGTGTGTGTGTGTGTGTGT